GTATGTAATGTATGTATGTAATGTATGTATGTATGTATGTATGTATGTATGTATGTATGTGCATATCAAAGAATGTTTGCGCACCGGCCGATAAGTTCATGTCGATATCAGCAGAGCATGAAATCAACTGCCCAGGTCATGCCCTCTCAAGTTTTGAATGAACCCATGGCACATATGTGTATGCGCAAGACAATATATATATATTATGTGTGCTTCTTTGTGCGTACATGTGTTTTATGTGTTTATCTTGTTTGTTGATCTACTCACAGTCTGGAGAAACACTGGCATTGTAAAAATATTAAAGATCTAAAGTTCACTTAGGAATTAAAGTCTTAATATGTCTTAATTACTTCACTTCATTACTTGGGTCGCTTTTTTGCACACTGGGGAGGTGTGCCGAATCGGTCTGGGTGAACTGTGAGGCAATCCTCTGAATCGGGCGTGCCCATCGTCTTTTGCGTAGGCCGGCACTGAAAACGAGAGGATCTCATTTCCATCACAGATATCCAGTTATGTATAGTTATGTTAGGTGTGTGCATACATGATGTTTTTACTTCGTTATATTCACATCGTTACAATTGCATGTATGCTAAGATGCATATAATGCACAGAATCTACCTGCGTTCATGACTGTGTGACCTGTGTTCTTTTGCGTTGTGGGGCCTAGCCACAAACACGATCATATTCAGTAAATCATGGGGATATAACTTGTACAACAACTTGTACAACCCTTCCGGTGACTAACAGTCTAGGTGGAAAATCACCAGACTCACATCATAGCGAAATCATCAAACGAAATGGATTTAAATGTGCCATCTGCATGCCAGAGCAAAGTGTTAGTGATGACCATGCGATAAAGCATCCATTTTTTGGGGGTCAAAAAATCTCGAACCGCGGAAACATTTTGCCAAAACCATTCGAACATTTTCACCAGTTGAAGATGGGGCACCGATCCCAACTGGGTTAGGTGGTGTGGCTCACGGTGATCCGGTCTCGGAGAAGAATTTCGGGGCAAACTATGTGGAGGAGCCGGTTTCGTTCTGCGGTTAAAACGAGGCATATGAAACAAGCTCCTTTGGAGAATGTGGTACCCATGAAACAATACCTCTGCGGGTGATGCTTATTACCACCCTGCTACTGTAAAGTTGGGTAAATTGGTAAATGTGGTATGGGTATAATCATCATTGCGGTTACCATGACTATGTTGGGAAGAAGTAAGTTGTCCAGAACGGAGGATGCGCCCGCAAATAAAAACCATCTTGATTTGAACCTGTTGATCTAGACTGGATTTTGGGCTACCCCATTTTCAAAGCCGCACAAAACGCACGGTATGCATCGAAAATGATCAAGACTTATTCTACCATATTTATCTGAAAATACCCCAACATGATATAGATGGTTTATCATAGTGTTCCCATGCTTTCCCTATGAACCATGGAAGATGCTGGAGTATTTTTCCATTTTCAGACATGTGGACAAGTGGAGAACAGACTTATAACATCTTATAACTTACAATTTATAAATCATCAATTATTTTCAATAATGATTGGTTACTAGTTCATGATAGTTGATATGATATTGGCATGATATTGGGTAAATCCAAACACTGACCTAGTTGCTGAGTCTAAGAGAAACAATCGTAGGAAACGGTGGCTTCAAGGGTGAACTCACATCTACGACCTCACGGGATGGTGGTTGCTAAGCTGTAAGCATGATATGATATACTGTGATATACTTATTATATAATATTATATAGTCATATGGCATCATATGGCATCATATGGCATTATGGAGGTTGAAGTCATGGGGGTACCCCCAGTTCTCATGTTTTTTTTCATGGGTTTTTCCATTATATATAAACCAACCAGCTATTGGGATCCCATTTGTGAAAACCTCCATGTAGTCCTCGGCCAGAACGGTCACAGCATCGCAGCCTAGGAGAATGTGTCGATTTCACCCTACGGCCTCTCAGCCGCCTGTGTATGTTCGAAGTTGCGTCCTCGGAAAATCAGCCGGGACAAGTTGACTTGAACATCGGGGTCAAAAAAAGAAGGCCATTTCTGAATTGTAGCGCCACGGCTGAGGATTTGCAATGAGTTCGGGAGCTCAGCTGAGCAAATCAGTGCCTGGGAGATACTTGACACCAACGAAAACATACAAAAACCCAAAGTAAACATGCCAAACATCGCCAAAGAATACAAGGTAAACCAGGTAAACTATGGTAAATTGGAGAATTTGGGCATACCATGACCATATAATTCGACCCTTTATCCACCTCGTCGATGGTCGATTTTTCAGTTGGATCCAGTTGGCCCAAAATTCAGATGGTTCTGATGTGTCAAAACCAATAGTACCCCTGTAGTTCACATCAAAATAGCTGGGATTTATGGATGTGAATAACCCCTAAAAATGGTATTATTGATCCATACCCATATCGTTCTGATGGATTTTTGATCCGGGCTTGGGATATCTTGGGATATCTTATGGAATATCTTGGAATCACACGTCTGGAAAAAGATGCAGTTGAGAAAAGTCTTTTTCTGGTTGTACGCATTTTGACTGCCATTTCTTGCTGAAGGGATTTGTCCGGGAATGACTAGCACTTTGGATGACCTACGGCTGATGAAACATCCTTTTGCCAGAGAGGTTTGAATTATATTTAGTTATATAATTAGTTATATATTTAGTTATATAATGACATATATATATATACATATTCATTATACATACATATATGGGTATACATATGTACACATACTGTGCATATATATATATCCCATAGCAGCATGTGATATCCCATGAGATCCAACATTCTTCATGGGTCGGATGGCTGAGCCGACGAGGTTTGAGTATCTCTGGGGCATTTGTTGAGAGCGAGCTCTAACTGCGTCCACTAAGACGGGAAGGTCTTGAGAGAGATGCTGTGATTTTTGAAGCTCTTGCAGAGAGAGAGAGAGAGAGAAAGTTGCTAAACTATATTTTAATATATTTTATATATAAACCCTTCACATTTCACAAATGGATGCCCCCAAAAAGCTCTATACACAATGATCTTCCTGTGTCTGGGGCCAGAGAAAATTTCGTTGAGAACTCCACCCTCCCAAATAAACAGTCGTGAGTCGTGACACTGGAAAATCCATCCGTAAATGTTGGATTTCCGAGATTTGGTTGACGGGACAATTAAAAAAAACATGGTCTTGTTTCAGAAACAAAACGGTCTTTCTCAGTGCCTTGCTGCCGGGCGCACCGAGCGCATAGTGAAATTGAGGAAAGATCTGCTGGGATCCGTTCCGTTCGATGGTCTGTGGTTGGAAACAAGAGTTGGTGGTTTCAGTTACGTATATATAATTATATATATATATATTATATTTACATGTATATAATAACTGCACATATAGATATATACATATATGGACACATACAAAAAAAAAGCGCCCGCTCTGGGGCCTATATTTTGACATGTAAATTGAGCAGACACATACAGTAATTACATATATATATATATACATACACATACATAGACATAAACACTAATTTCGACACATGTTTGGGATAATGATCCCCAATGTTTTATGGGATTTGGGGATCTGCAGAGAGGCAACTCAGATTTTTTTCTTCTCTTGTTTTCTGCATATGGAATCACATGTACACTGTACTGTACACAATATATATATATATATATACATACATATATATATATATACATATATATACACATATATATATATATATATACATACATATATATATATATACATACAGATGTACACATACACGTACACGTGCACGTATACGTACATGCATCACATCGCATCGCATCACATCACATCGCATAGAGAAATATGCACCTCTGTCAGTGAAAGATCCAATTTGCCAAGTGAAAAGTGATCCTTTGGATCTTGCCAGGAGTCCAGTCCAAGATCAGCCTCTGGCTACAGATTGGCAATCCTTATCTCAAAACCACCATCCCTAATGTTACACACCACTATTGTATGGTCCAAATATGTGTATGTAAAATTCCCTGTTCTACTATGGTTTCTGGGGGTGTTTAATATTGGGGGGACGGGATTGATATTGGTGATATTACTTACTTACCCATCTTACCCATTGTATAGCATGCACATTGCATCCCCATTTTACATGGTTAAGACCCAGCTAGGCCTCTAAAATTACCACCCTGGCGACCTGGTACCTGAACTTCAGAGGGGAAGATCTCCAACATCCAATGGGGTTTTTCATCAAAGAAGTTGCCCATCCAATGGGGTCACCATTTTCAGACAGCACATCATCGTCTTGGCAAACCGGATATCCCATAGTATCCAAATTTGATATCCCATAGTTTATCCCATAGTTCAAATTCCTTTTGCCATCATTAGAATCATTCCATGGCCCCGGCGGCCTTGGAAGGTACCGAGAAGCTTGGATCAAAAGTCGCACTTTGGGTGCCGAAGCTCAGGATACCGGGACAATGGTTTAGTGGTGAAGCACTAAAAGCACTGTGGAGCACCCCACCTTGCCAAAGGCATTGAAGATATTAACGTTTTAGTAGCAGTCCGAGGTTCGAAAGTTCAATTACCATTGGTGGACTAATAGTTTTTTTCCATAGGTTTTGAGTTATGCTACATGATATTATCCTTATAGGTTTTCCCGTAGGTTTTTATATATCCCAATTCTCATTCTTACCATGACCCATGTTGACCCATCTGTGCTCGGCAAAGGTCGACCAGTGCCAACTCCACTACAGGGCGTGAAGGTCACTTTTTGGTCATCACGGAGTAAAAGCAGTTTCTTTTTTTTCCGAAGCACATGATGTAGATCTTCCAATTTTGAGTAAATGGATTGTAAATGGACGTTGTAAATGACGATGGGATTGCCATGGGATCTGTTCCAACATGTCTATGAAATCTGAAGAAATCTTCCCATTTCACGCATGTTTCAATGATTCCTCATATTCAAGACTTTAACTTGCAAGGATCATACAAGATATAGCCACCATGTGACACCCCAAGATTGTTTAACTTTGCTACATCTTCGAGAATGGATAAAGGTGTGGGCATTTCAAAAGGAACGATGAACAATGGCAGATTGAAGTTTGTCCAAAAATACAGAATTACAGACCCCAAAACAACATTTGTGAGGCGGCCATGATAAACCACTGGACTTTTTTGGCTCCATTATTTTCAGACAAACCCACATCCTTGGTGTGCTCAGAAATCCTGTGACATTAGATAATTGAAGCAGTCATCTCCATTCCAATCAGTACGTGCCGTGCTGAAGCCAATCACGAAGCATACCCCATTCTTCCAATCATCATCCATTTGGGAGTACATGGGGATACTAAGAAAACCATTGGGTGTACCAGTGTAGCCAGTTCTTGAAATGTCATTTGCGCCGCAGGTGGGACCCTGTGTAGATGATTCCCAGCAGGCAGGGGAACAGCCCAGGCCCTCAATGGATGTGGGTAATTTATGGATCAAAATTTGAGAATCCGATGGTTTTCACGCCCAAAAAGCAGGAATTTAAAACATGTTGTCATGGCACCCTCTCAGAAGGTCAGGGCCATTGGTCTTGACTTACCAACAGTTTGCTATTGAAAATGGCCATAGAAATAGTGGATTTTCCCATTAAAAATGGGTGGATCTTTCCAGTTCGCTGTGTTAGTCATTACCAGAGGGTACCTATCTTACCTCCTCATTTTCTGAACCTCTTCGAATTTATCACACCAATCCATTGCACCAATTTTTTTATGGCACCTAATTCTTGCACATCGACTGCACCCCCAGGGTAGACAGTCGATCATTGCTCTTTAATTTAGACAATATCACGTATCTATATACCCATATACATATAATATCATATAGTATATATATAATATATAATATCATAATATATATATAATATGTATATAATATATATATACACATATACATACGGATGTATACTATGTAACCATCAACTATAATACACATCCAGTGTGAGAGGCCAAGGCGAAGGCTGCTGCGTCCCCGGTGGATCTGCTGGACATGGGCGAAAAGTCAGGCCCCTCAGTCCCGGTGAAGGCGGTCCCGGAGGCCCGGAGCCGTGGGGCCCTGAAGGTGATTGAGTCGCAGGTCGCAGTAAAATGCTGGATCTACACCCAATCTTTTTGATAATTCATGATAATTTATGATAATTTATGATAATTTTTTTCATGAAAATCTCATGGGCTTCTAAGAAAAGATTTCCAAAAGTCCTTCTATGTTTTATTGGTCATGGTCAAGTTCCAACTCTGTAAAGAAGAAAATGACACATATTTCCTAACGTCTGACCCATTCTTTTTCCAAAATCCGATTTGGTGCTAAAGGGGTTTCTTATTTGAAAACACCCATGTGCCCATGTGTTGTTTATAAAGCCCATAAATCCCATAAACGTTACTGAAATACATGTTTTTTTTCCCCCCAATTTTGACTCCTGTCGCAGACGGATCTTCTGAACTTCGATGCTACGCCGGCGGCAGCTCCCCAGAAACGCCAGGAGAGGGGTTGACATCGCCAGAGAATCACCACAGATGACAGGGATTTCAGGGTTTAACATGGTTTAACCAACAAAGATGAGGATTTAACCTACTTAAACCATGTTAAATGGGCATACATAGTGGGTTTATAACTTGCTGATGATTTTGCTGGTGGTTTCATAAATATATGTCTTATGTTCAACCACAGAAATGGGATGACAACGAATGTGTCGGTGGTTGGTCCTGAGATGAAAAATACCCCTCAAAGGAGACATTGTTTAGTACTCAATCTATTCATTTTGGATCCCTTATGAGGATTTAATGTCGAATAATTAACTCATATTTTTGGGGTTACGAGCAGCCCAACAAGTCAGGTTTTGGAAACCACACAAAAACGATTGAAACATCGACCCGCTTTTTGGGTGTTTCTTTCGGAACTTGGGTCGTAGCTTAGGCCAGGGTTTCACATAAACCCAATTGGATCCAATTGGAAGTACTTCGGTACAGTATCGTGGCTGCTGCGACACCAACAGTGAACTTTGGCACTCTCCATGACGACATTGGGAGCCTGCCCTGGGGCCCAGGAGACCGATCTATTAGGCTCCGGAGGTGAGGGATCGATGGGGTCTGGGATATGTTCACCCTTAAAAACCATAGGTTTTTCACACGGGATATGCCATGGGAATCCATGGGATATGTTATCAAAGTTTTGGTTTTAGCGTCATCCAATCAAAAATAATCAAGATGAATACTGTAATCCCTTCTAATATGTTTCACAACCCCCGGAAATCATGGTTTAGTTTTGTAGGGGATTTACACATATTGGGACCCATTTACAGTAGGGTGTGTCTAATACAAAGAGGATAGGATTATTGAATCAACAAGGCATTGAACATGAATTGACACTTTGGGGTATATCGCCAATCCCACGGCCGTGTGAGCAAACTGGCCGCTTAACCCAAGGAACCATTCGAGACTACCAGGCTCAATACAGTTTTACATAGGGCTCGGCCATGTGAACTTGGATTGGAACACAAACAAAGGAACAAGGGTGGGTCCGGGTAGCTAAAGCCCCAAAAAAATATATCCATGTTAGATAATGGTTAGTATGGGTTCTGTCAGTTCTATCCCACTTCTGTTGGTTAAACCATGTTTTTTTGTTCGTCAGATACCCCATTCACATCTTGCAATTAGGGACGCATCACCAACTATAAGAGTCTATTGTTCTTTTGTTGACTCCTGCATTGATTCCTAAACAAACATGGACACCGTACATGGGGATATCACCCACCAACATTGTGCATGTAACCCATCAGTGATTGTGGAGTATAGCCAACACCAGACACTAGCCAACCAAAATCAATCGCTGGCAATGGACAACAACTGGTTGGTAGGGAATTTATGGTAGTGTGGTACATCCAAGACTAAACCTCTACTTGGTGATGCCTGCTGGCCTATTTCTAAAAAACATGGGGATTGGTTTATGGCATTGGGTCAATCCCGGTCATTTTCAGACAAACCAGGTACCATATATATTGCTTATACATCCCAACATATATGATATCCCGTTATATCCCAGAAAACACATCCCATTTACTTATACCCCAAGAAATATCCAATTTATATCCCATAGCACATCCCATTTACCCCGCGAAATATCCAATTCAATGACATATCCCATAAAATACTGATTGGTGGTTTGGAACATTTGTTATTTTTCCCGTCATATTGGGAATGTCATCATCCCAACTGACTTTCACTCCATCATTTTTCAGAGGGGTAGGTTGAAACCACCAACCAGATATATATATATATATATATTATACATATACAACCATATATATATATATATATTATATTATACATATATATACATATATTATATACATATATATATGTATACATATATATATATACATATATATATGTATACATATATATATATATATACATATATATTATATTATATTATATTATATCATATCATATCATATCATATTATATTATATTATATTATATTATATTATATTATATATATTATGCATATTATATATATATATACGTACATATATATATATATATATTATATGTATTATATTATATATATACATAATATGTTTTCTGAATGCTGATGATTCCCATCGATTCTTCAGAAAGGCGGCGACTTGCTGGGCCTTTCTGCACCATCCGCACCATCCGCACCATCCGCTCAGGCCGGGCTGGATCGCAGCGTTGGGGAAGTTGGGGATGATTTAGATAGATTCTAGGGGGTGAAGATGGGTTACCCTCTGGTAAACTAACATAACTATGGAATTTTAATGGGAAAACTCACTATTTCTATGGCCATTTTCAATAGCTACGTTAAATTACCAGAGGGTAGGTACGGTTAGGTATGTACCTTCTCAGAAAGTGTGACTGGATCCATATTGGGATGTTTTAAACGGCAGTTTCCCATGTGATTGAAATGATTGGAAGTCATATTATGCGCGGTGAAAGTCATTGGGCATCCCACAATTTGGACGGTTCAAACACTAAAGATCAGCGGCTGTGGTTTTCCAGGGCTAGAAGTTTGACCTGTGCCGATTTGAGAAGTGGCCAAAGTTCCTGATGGTCGGTGGTTTTGTGGATTTTACAGGGTTGTAGCAGGTGTTTTTATGATCGGAATTCGGAATCCGCATCAACCAGTAGAGGCAATCCATCCTGAACTCAGAAACGGTCACCGTTTGGCATGTGATGGCCAGTGCACTTGGGCGACCAACGTCCCGTGGCAATTGAACAGCCCCCAGCGACAGGCGAACGACCTGTTGAGCGCGATGGCCGGAGTCCAATGACTCAGATCGACTGGGGACTTGGAATTTAGATATCTCAGAATGCGGAAGAATTTGCCGTTTGTACCCCAGTGTTTGAGCCACTTCTCAGTTCGTGCAGATCGGTGTGACAATACCCAGCCGTTTGTTGGTGGATTATACAGTACCACTTATTGAAGTTTATTGGGGAAAATGAATTGAGCCGTTGCTACCCTCTGGTAATTTTAACATAGCTATTGAAAATCACCATTTTTAATGGGAAAATCCACTATTAATGGTCATTTTCAATAGCTACGTTAAATTACCAGAGGGTAATATACCTCACCAAATTTCAGCAGTATCTGTGCAGCAAGGCACCTTTGGACTTTGGAGCGCAGGCAGCACAGGCTCCCTGCGATCCACTCCCAACTTGGGAGTTTCCCCCTGGTTAGCACCCCAGGCGATAAAAAAGCAACGTCCTAAATCGAAAATCGAGTGGTAAATTACGCTTATCCATGCTCTATTTTTTGGCTTACTAAAGGCGGAAAGATCTTTAAACAACAATCCTACGTGACCTGCGCTGCGCTGACGGCTTGCGATGATCTCATCCACCAAAAGAAGACTTGTTGGGTTGGAGTGTCTGTTCACTTATTATCTGAACTTGTTCTGTTTTCCAGCTATGATTTAGTTCTTGTCAGTTTCAATCATATACTTATGTATATCATACACATATAATAACATATAATAACATAATATATAATCTATATAATATGTAATATAATATATAGATATATACATAATGATATAATATAATATATATATATACATTAAAATACAATATGATATTTAAGTATATATATACACTATATGTATAATATGTACAATAGATATAATATATTTATATAATATATATAATATTATATAATATATATAGTATTATATAATACAAAATAATATAATATAATATAAGGAGGGTAATTTATTTTTTTTTTTTTGGGGGGGTATTATTTTTTTTTTTCTTCCTCTCCTGGTGGCTTCTGTGGCTCCTGGTGGCTCCTGGTGGCTTCTGCGGCTCCTGGTGGCTCCTGGCTCCTAGAGCTCCTCGCTCCTATGGCTCATTTATCATCTATCGATCAATCTATCAGTGAAGCATGTTCACCAGGTGCATGTTGTGCATTAGATACACCTTGAGTATCATCTATCTATCTATCTATCCATCCATCTATCTATCTATCTATCTGTCTATTTATCTGTCTATCTATCTATCTGTCTATCTATCCATCTATCTAACTATCTATCTGTCTATCTATCTGACTATCAAACTATCTATCTACCTGATTCTATCTATATATATATCTTATCTATATCTATATCTATCTGTATCTATCTATTTCTATCTATATCTATCTATATCTATCTATATCTATATGTATCTATCTATATCTATCTATATCTATCTATATCCATCTATATCTATCTATATCTATCTATATCTATCTATATCTATTTATATCTATCTATATCTGTATCTATATCTACATCTATGGCTGTATCTATGATTCTATATATGTATATAATTATCTATATATGTATATAGTTATCTATATATCTATATCTCTATATATATCTATATATCTCTATCTATTTCTTTTTATTTCTATATATCTCTATATATCTATTTCTTAATCTATCTATCTATATATATATATATATCTATATATCTATATATCTATATTCCTATATATCGTTAAATCTATATATCTTTGAATCTATATATCTATATATATATCTATCTAAAAGGTTTGCATTATCATCCGGATGATATTCAAACCCCAAGCCAACCCTGAACCAAACCTTATATAAAGAGATCTTAAACCAACTCGATGATAACATCATATGAATCTATTGTGCATCGTTGTGCCTCAATCTACATTCCACATGTTTCCAAGCTGCATGTCGTGTAGTATATACACCTTAACTGTACTTGAGTATCACATTCAACCCAGCACCTTGCATGTGAAAATAGGTGTTTCCAATCTGCTTTGGGGGGGAGGCGCTGCGCCCTCCCCCCCAATCCCCCCCCCACCGCTTTTTTTTAAATTTAAATTCAAACTTGCACACATTTCAATACACTAGTTTGGTTAGACTAGATATGTATTGTATATATATATATATTGTAATATATATATATTGTATATATATATATATTATATATATATATTGTATATATATATATATACATATGGTTGTTTATATACACAGCTTTTATCCCAAAATAAACTGTAAATAATCATGTGCATGCATATGCGTCCACATAAAATAGTTATTTGTATGTGCATGTTGTATCCCAAAATAAACTGTAAATAATCATGTGCATGCATATGCGTCCACATAAGTATAGTTATTTGTATGTACATATTGTATCCCTAAATAACCCCTAATCCAACCCCAAACAAACCCTAAACAAACCCTAAACCAGCCCTAAAGAAACCTTAAAACCAACCCTAAAACCAAACCCAGCAGATATATTAATTACACTTGTAAATACCTTGATCTACATATGCATAAGTCATGATTAGTCATGCATGTATACCTATATCTATCTATATCTATCTATATCTATCTATATCTATCTATATATATCTATCTATATCTATCTATATCTATCTATATCTATCTATATCTATTTATATCTATCTATATCTGTATCTATATCTACATCTATGGCTGTATCTATATATCTATATATACGGATATAATTATCTATATATGTATATAGTTATCTATATATCTATATCTCTATATATATCTATATATCTCTATCTATTTCTTTTTATTTCTATATATTTCTATATATCTATATATATATATACATATCTATACATCTATATATCTTTATATATATATATCTCTCTCTATATATATATATGTATGTATGTGTATATCTATATTTATATCTATATATCTATATACCACTATATTTCTATATATCTGTATATAAGGTTGCCTGGGAAGACGCTTTAGCTGATTCTGAGTGGACGCTACTGCTCCTCCTCAGCCCTCTCCCCCATACCCCCTTCCTGTTTTCTTATTGAGGAAGGAAAGAAAATGTGAGGAAAATGATGAAAAACCAAAGAAAAAGTAATGGACAACGAGGAAAAGTGAGGGAAGTGAAGGAAAACCAATGAAAAACTAAGAAAAAGTAATGGAAAACGAGGAAAAAGTGAGGAAAATGATGAAAACACAAGGAAAAAGTAATGGAAAACGATGAAAAAGAGAGGAAAATTATGAAAAAGTAAAGAAAAATGCTGGAAAACGAGGAAAACGTGAGGAAAAATTAAGGAAAACCAATGAAAAACCAAGGAAAAGTCAAGGAAAAAGTGAGGAAACCGTGCCCACGACCAAAAAAAAATAAAATTCCCAAAACAAGAAAAAAAAATCCCCAAAAAATTCCGCACCCATAATATAATATAATATAATATAAAGTAATATAATATAAAGTAATATAATATAAAGTAATATAATATAATATCTAATATATAATATATAATATATAATATATAATAAGAATATATATATATATTTAATATGATATATAATATACAATATATAGTATATATTATATAATATATACTATATAACTTAATATGATATATAATATATAATATATAACATATGATATATAATAAATAAATATATATATATGTAATATAATATACTATAATATACTAGAATATATAATATATAATACATAATATATAATATATGACATTTACATATATATATATAATAATATATAGTACTTATATAATATATAATATCATATTTATATAATATAAAATATATAATATAATATACCATATATAATAATATGTATATATATATGAACATTTATTTATCAACATTTATGAACATTTATATTATATTAGTTGACATACAAAAAGACCTTGTTTTGGGCACCTCGTTCCAAACATCGAAATCCAGCTGGATGACCTCGGCGCGGAATCCGCTTAAAGCCGAGGCCCCATTGATATCTTGCAATCAACAACAGGTGTGTACATGTATATATAATATATATATATAAATGGATATACCAGATATAGTAGTACATATAATAAACATATAATACTATAGTTTAGTAATATGGAATAACTATTGGAATATATATATATGATACCAGATTACAATGATAATATGAATATACATATTTGACAGCAATAATATATGAGATCAATAACAGATTGCAATCCCACAATAATCCATATATTACACAATAATCCATATATTATATACATATAATGGGATTAATATGGATTAGTAATGAGATTGTATAAGAGTAGGATTAATAATGGGATGATATAGCAGTAGGATTACATAAGAATGGGATGATATAGGATCAAGAATGGGATTAATCATGGCTTTTTTGTTTTGGGATTAAGAATGGGATCAGCAACCTATACAATATCTGGGGCCCGAAATAGGCAAGCATTCACAACATCACATGACCAGAGACTCCCCATGACTTGAGATTTACCCAGTCCTGGTTGGGTGATATGTCGGAGATGACCATGGATATACCGCAGTTCTCCACAAAAGACTGACCACAAAAGCACTAGTTTGGAGGTGCATTTCCAGTTAAAAGTGGATATATATAGAGTTATATATAATTATATATATATATCTACGCGTATACATAAGCCATAGTTAAATTGGGTTATATCCCCAACTTATAGGGGCCCCCCGAATAGTTGGCATCTGTAAAAAACATCAAAAATGCCATCTGAGCTCAAAAACAGATGGCAAAGCCCACGGTATACTTGTATACTTGACCTGTTTAACAAATATTGAGATTTCTAGGTTGCAAAGATGGCACGCCATATTCCGGGGATAATAATAATACTAATAATAATGAATATATATATATATACATATATTTGCATACTTGAACTTGTTCATAAGTCATGTTACGTGTTACTTGTCATATGTATATATATATATTTATTTATTATTTTGTTTAGTGCCCTTAAGATGGCTTTTGCAAATAGCTACAAATAAAAGATTTTTTGCATTTTGTCGTGACCCGATAGATGGCACACACTGAACCAACATATGAGGTTGAAATTTCATTGATGCCATCTTAGTGCTTGTACCGTTTGTGCCATCTATTCGGGGGCCCCTATATGGGGTCCCCACGGTTACATCAGGCGGCCACTCCTGCAATGCCCAGCTTCCCAGCTGCGACCGCGCCGTCTGCGCAGTCGCCGATGAACTTCCAGGTATCGGCTGGGACCGCTGGGAGGGGAGTGGGATATGGGGAGATCTTGAAACAGAGATAGAATGAGCATATCATAAATGACTTACTGGTGCTTAGTAGGGAATGGATGGGAATGGGGGAATGGGATGATTA